CTTGGCATCTTCCACCTCTCTCTCTATAGCCATGGCTGTCTCGACCATCTCATCAAATTCGTGCAACCTGTGGCCAACAATCTTCCCGCGGATGGATAGCTTTAGGCCATTTTCAAACCTCCGTACCTTGGCCAAATCAGTGGCCACGTAGTCATCCGCAAAACGTGCCAATTCTGTGAACTTGGCCACGTACTGCATAACCGTCATCGCTCCTTGCTTCAAGTTTAGAAATTCATGGGCTTTGACTTCCCGAACAGCTGGTGGGAAATATTTCTTCATGAAGAGTTCTTGAAACTCTCCCCATGTCATCCTTCCGATGTCTATCGGCTTTGCCCATGTCCACCATTGATGGGCGTCTCCCTCAAACTGGAAAGTGGCCAATCGTATCTTCGTGGCATCAGATACAATCTCCATAGCTTCCAAAATTTTGTCCACCTGTTGGAACCAATTATCAGCTACCATCGGATCCCCTCCTCCTACAAAAGTTGGTGGGTTGTGGGACCTAAACTTCTGCAGGTTGTTCGAGCCTCCTTGGCCCACATTAGAGCTGGCTTGCAAAAAGGTGGCGGTCATCGCGCCCATAGCCTCCATAAAGGCTTGTTGATCGAAAGCCGGTGGTGGTGGTTGGTTGTTTCGTCCACCCCGACGTCCCCTTCCTCTTGTTGCCATCTACACACACATAAGATAGCAATAGACCAATAACTTAGTATCTCAAAGTTAGGGATCAAAGTTAAAACAGTAGAATATATACCTATCGGTAAATGTGCAAACAATAGGCTTACACATCCTTTTCCTTCCCAACTCATGGTTTCTAACCATAGTACCTCATTCCTATATACATTTAATCATGCATATAATCTCATAACACATAGCATGAAAGATTTAATACATTTAACATGCAATACAAACTGGAAGCAATGACTTAAACCCATGCCCTGTAAGCCCTAGGTAAATCGTGAACCTAGGCTCTGATACCAAACTGTGACACCCCAAAGTCCGGGTGTCTGTAATTATCCGATTGGTTATCCATCGACCTGTGTAATACTGGTGGATATCGTGTAATTTGATACCACACCGTTATGCCCCATTTCTTGGGATCCATAACTTAACAAAATTTGGACAGAGTCTCCTTTGTACAAGGAGCTCTACTCAAAACGCAACCTGTACAACATTGACCACACCGGGTCTATCTATCCATTCACAATTATATAGTCTCGAATACTACCATAATCATTATCAGTACATACATTTATTCGTAAAAGAATAAATGTCCCAAAAGAGTCCCATATACATGCCTTTGTAAATATAAACAATGTTTGTTACAAAAATTATACAAGGCCAAAAGTAAGTATAAACAAGGGACTACAATGTCAAAAGAAAAGCCACAGACCGGCTCTGTCGTCAAAGCGGGCCCATGGCCTCGCCTTCGGTGGAAGCCTGTGCGATACCTGAAAAATGTTCCCATAAAGGGTGAGCTAACGCTCAATAGGGTAACTCCTATAGAGAATACCTCTCAACCTAAATGAATATGGAATGTCACATGCAACAATCATTTGATACATTCATTTAAATATGTCTATTATGATTGAATGTTATAGGTCATGTCATGCCATGAGATGAGACTCACGCAAGCAATACCAACCCCGAGCCCCATCCTGAGCTCCCATAACACATGCAATGTCATGCGTATGTATCCGAGCATTCCAAGCCCCCATCATTGGTGTTATGTACACTCAATGCTAATTAATTCATTTTCTTGTGTCTTTGTGGGGAGATGATTTATGGTATTACACCAATGGGACACCAACCATCAACGGATCTTCAGGACATCCCACCTGCGGCTCCGTTTCCGCCGTTACACTTTTTTGGAATTTCACCGCCGGAAAGTGTATAAACCAAGTAAGCGGGTCTTGCACCCGAGGGAGAATCTAGCCCTTCGTGCTGTCCCCAACACATTTATCCATTTAATTTCTCGTGCGACTCAACCGAACCTTGGTGCGACTTTTCCGAGTCCACGTTCAACCACCTACGTGGTGATTGATTTCATACCATGCATACACTCTCACCCATGTCAATGCCCATGAATGTAGTGCAACCCATGCATAATGAAATACAATGTAATGACATTTTAACACGATCTCAAGCATGTTATGTAAGATAATCAACTCAACTAACATACTTGTATTCACCTAGGCATTTAATCAAACACCTAAAGAGCACATCAATTTACACAACTAGCATGCTATGACTTGCAACATGATAACATGTTTAACATAAGCACAAAGTCCACCAAAATAATCATATGTTAAATAATCATTTAACATATATATATTATTTCACAATCATATAACAAGTTAATAATTTTATTAAACTTGATCTTCCATTAAAATATAAAGTAATGCTAACATACAATTAACATGCTTTAAACTACTAACATTAACTTATACCAAGTTAATCACAATAGAATTTTATTAATCACAAGATTAATTATAAATTCTATATTTGACCCACTAGTCAAGACCTAACATGTGATATACACTCATAATCTACTCATTCCATATGTCATATTTTAAGTTGAAATTAAATCTAAATAGGGGAAACCCTACCTCTCGTAGCGTGAGACCACTTATAAGAACGCCAAGGAAGCCCAAATTTAGCTTCCTAAGTTTTAGGTCTGGATTATCGGCTTTGAGATACCTTCGAAGAAAAATACGATCTTTGGTGTGGTTGCGTAGCTCTCGCTGAGTAGAGCAACTTTAGTTCTTGGCCCGAAACGATTAAACGGTTAAATTTTCCTAGATCTGAGAAGGAAGAAAAGAGAAAAAAATAAAAATAAAAACTCTCTCTTTCTCACCGGCTGTAGAACACCCCAAAAAGTGGAAGACAAAGTCTTCCACTTATATATGTATATATATATTATTTTTTTATTATTTACGTTTTTGACCCATAATTTAAAAATTAATTATTATTTTATCCTTTTATTTTTATTAGGATTAATAATATATATATTTTTTTTTCGGGTTTTACAGGTCTTGTAGTTCAAAAATCAGATTTAGTTTTACTAATAGGCAGTTATTTGAAATTTTTGACTAAATCCTCCTATAGTTGAGTTTGTTTTACAATGATTCCTATTTTTCGTAGAGAAATCTTATTCTTTTTTATTTTATTGAAGGGATTTTTAATCAGGGATAGTTCATTGGTTGAGTTTAACTTCTGATAACCTAGAAATTTCAAATTCAACACTTCTCATACTCTTTAAGGGTTAACTATTCTTGTTTTCAAGGAACATCTTCTAAACTTGTTCAGTTACGGTGGCCATTATTCAATTTTGAGGGGTAATCGACACAAGCCTGAACACTATGTAATTAGGAAAAAAAAGGAAAAAAAAATCTAAGGAGTTTCTTAATTTGGGCACAAGAAACATGTACATTTTTGTGGGAGCAACAACCGAAATGGTAACAACCAACCAAGATCAACAAAGATACCTCAATAGGAAGGAATTGTCTGTCCTACATAAGCACCCGTGTTCGAGTCTCGGGCCCTCCCAACTCTTGTGATAAAGAAATTTTTGTTTGGATTTAAAATACATATTTTAGTGTTTGATGATGTACATCACTAATAAAAATCATATCATAAATAACTGTCACTCATCATTTTATCATTTTTTTAAAAAAAAATTAATATCTTATGATGGGACACTTCTGAGAATCAATAAGGAGTCTACATATGTCCTCGATATGAGAAATATGGGTGCTCTCTCGAGTGACACTTGTCTTTGACACTAAAGGTCCCTCGAATTTTTCTGCGAGTGACACATGTCCTCGGTGTCGGATCCTCTGCACCACCAAGGTATTGGCGACTATCTTGGAACTTAGACTATAGTAAATGACAGAGTTTTTAAAAAAGTCAAGAATGATGCCACCAAATCAGAGGTGAGGGTGACATTTAATCATCAAACACTCTTCTCAAGGTCGTCAAAATGACAGAGAAGACAACTTAGTGATCAATAGAGAGAATTCACGAAGTACGAAGCCCAGATAACTTGACCTCTAGGAGGGGCATGTGCAGCCACAATAAAGGACATTAAATGATCTTTCAGAAGAATGTGACATATTTATTGCTCATAAAACTTCGAAGAAAGAACATTAAGTGCTCGGGAGCCTGAGCATTCAATGCATAAACTTCTTTCACAGAAAATGGAAAACACTCTGCTCAAAAGACTGAGTACCACCTACTGCCTTCTAAATGGGCCAATGAGCGATTTTCTCTCCAAGGGATCCACCTGTCCGCAATGATTATCTCTATAGAAGTATAAATAACTCTCACAAATTCAAGTGTAAGGTACGCAAAATCTCACCCAAGTAATAGAATAGTGATTACTTCAAATCGTCGGAAGGGTCATGTCGAAAAATACTTTGATGCCCTCCTAACCTTCTTTTTTGAGTGGCAAAGTTCATCTCGATGCATCGGGTTCGTTCAAGCTGTTGGAGAAGTAATTCATCGTCATTCCTTATACTGTTTTTCACTTCCGTTTGTCACAAGATCATCGACTTTTCAGGTAAATCTCGAGTTCACCAAAGAAAAATCTTTTTATTCATTTTATTGTGCAAAAATCACCGCACACATCTTACAAGTTGGTTGTGTGACAACTTTTTATTTCGTGTGCACACTAAGTGATTGAATGTGTTAAATTAATTTAAAAATTTCTCCTCATGATGAATCACATTGTCAAAAAAAAAGTTCAATTTGTTAAAATATGACACAACTCATCAACAAGATATAAATATAATATGAAATTAGAGAGAGTTTGAATCTTTTTGTAAATGAGTGAACCCGATACTATAAGATTAATACACGAATCAGATATGCGTGAATTCAATCAAAAAAAATATACAATATAATTTATTTTTATATCGATTATAAACGATTTATTCACGATATGAGTCTGATATGACACAATTTATTAAATATAAATTAATAAATAAATCGAATATGGATGAAATACTTTTTGACATGAAATCATTCAAATTCAATATAAATTCTTCACAACCAATACGATTGACAGACCGGCATACAACCCTTGAAATAAAAGTTGCCAAGATAGAGAAGAAAATGTGCACTTGCATTATTAAGTTAAATGCGTAACAGCAAACAAAATAGAAAAATTAAAACCAAATACCGTGACCCAAAAACAAATACACTAAACATATACTCTAAACCCGACTTAAACAACTGTTTTAGAGGATTAAACTTGTCAAGAATAGTCTCCTTATTAACGAGAATTGCTAAGCTGTTGCTCGTGTACTGCATCGACCTCTGCAACCTCACGCTAACCTCATAGGTTGCCATTAGATCCACCCCCTGCAACTCATATAAACAATTCTGTTGATTGGCCTCTGCACCGTTGATCCACACCGTCACGTCGTTGATCTTTTCTTCGGCCAATCCTGTGTCAACGTTTATCGATGCCAAAGACCTGTTGAGTTGACTCAGCGCGAGGTTGCCGAGACTCATGCAATCGCGGAACGCCGACTCGGTTCTCGGATCGTTGGTCGTCTTCGAGATTAGGTTTTTGGGGAGGGAAGTGAGGCTGGTGAGTTCTTGAATGGCCAATTGCAGAAATAGGGTGAAGATTTGGTGTGGGTCGGATTGGATCGGAGTGGTGGTTTTTTGGGCTATGGAGTATAGGGTTTTGAAGCATGCGTGTCTGTACGGAGTTACAGAGCAGATGTATCGGATTGACTCGGCCGGGTTGAACAGATTCGACTTCTTTACGAATATAGTTGCGCTTAATGCACCTATTACCAGTGCTAGAAGGATGAATAAAGAGATTAAAAAGATGACGATCAGAGGCGTTTGGGTTTTATTGGGTATTGACTTTGATGATTGGCCATCGAGGAGGTTTACTTTGCTGTTGGTAGATTTCATTACTGATTCGTGGAGATCGTTTGTGTGTGTGTATGTGAGAGAGAGAGAGAGAGAAATGAGCCACCGGTGGAATGAGTGGAGGATGTGAACGAAGGGAAAGACTGAGTAAATTATAATTTTTCCCCATGAACTATTACTTTTATTTTCTTTTATGCTTTTAACTATAAAATTTTTTACATTAAACTTTAAAGTATCAATTTTATTTCACATCACCCTAACAAACTTAAAAATTTGTCAAAAAAGGAATGGAAACCCCAAAGAGCTTCCCGCCAAATATCTAGCATCACTTTATTTTACATCTTTTGTAACCAAATAGTTGCCGAGAAGAAAACATTTGTCAAAGAAAAAAATTTAGAGTTTAAGAACAAAAAAGTCATAAAAGTATTTTTTTTTAGTTTTGACCTGCACATGCACAATAGGCAGTTGTTTATTAACAGTACAAGTTACTCACATACGCATATACTTTCAAAAAATTGTGTGTATTATTTTGATAATTAAAAAATGTCTTGAAAATTTTAAAGAATTTTTATTTTGCATTCTTAAATGTTATATCCTTAATATATTAAAAATATTATAATGTTGTTCTTTTATTAGTTTACGTTGCTCATTCCATCAGCATCAATGAGATGTAACACTTTTGATACATTAAGGTTGTAACGTGTTAAATTTAATATTTAAAAGTACAAAGTGAATTTTTTTTAAATCTTTTGGGATGTAAATTACTATTCCCAAAATAGAATAAAAACTGGTAAAATTTTGAAAATTTATTTCCCACATATTTTGAAACATTAGTCAAAATAAACTAAAAAATCTTGAAACACCTCCAAACATTCTGAAATTTTTCAAAAAATCTCGAAATATTAGTTCCACTATTTCAAAATAAATTTTTGATCTTTGTCATTTGATTCAATACTTTGAAATAATGACAATACAATTATTCGGTTTCAATAACATTATTTTTTTAAATTGTAAGAGAGAGAGAGAGATAGAGAACCCATTTGTCCAAAATACTCACAAGTGGCATGGGTGTTTTGCCTCAACTAAATTATTTTCTATTTTTTTTAAAAATGTAATATGATTGAAAATTATAAAAATAATGCTACTTAGGTCTTATTTATGTATTAGATATTGTCTATGCCTGAAAGTATAGAGTAATAAAAAAAAATGCTTAACAATAAATATATTTTATTCACACCCAAAATCAATTCACAAATATAAAGGAGAGAAGAAAGAAATTTAAACACAAGTTATAGTGGGGATGTGCGGTGGTAGTGGTGGTAGGCGGTAAAAATGGTGGTAAGAGATGGTGATGGTTGTGGTAAGTGGTGACAACCGTGGTAATGGTGACAGTCGTGAATGGCAAAGGTGATGGTGGTGGTGAGTTTTGAGTGATGATAGTGGCAATAGCAGTATTGAGTGACGATGGTAGTGATGGTGAGTGACGGTGATGGTGATTGTCAGTGGTGATGTGCGGTGACGATAGTGGTTATGATCGATGACAAGTGTTTCTGAACAACAATGTAATAGATGGTAGCAAATGGTAATGGTGGTGTTGGTGGTAGGTGTGGTGTGGAAGATGGGTGATAGTGGCTGGCAGCAATAGTGGGTGACAACAGGTGGTGGTGGGTTGTGGTAGTACGTGACAATGGGCGGTGATGGGCAATAATGGTGATGGTGGGTGCTAACGATGGGTGACGGTGATAGTAGAATGATGATGATAATGATAATAAATATAAGAATGAGATGATGATAGTGGTAAGTGGTGGCGGTTAGGACTGTTAATAAAACTGAGCTACTCGAGCTTGGCATGAGTTTGGCTTAGATTCGACTCGTTCAGACTCGGTTCCTTTTCTAAACGAGCCCGAACTTGAACAAGTTTTTAGGCTTGTTTAGAAAACAAGCCCTACAAGCTCAGTTCAAACTCGACAAGTTTGACTCGTTTATGTGTAAATACTCGGGCTCGTTCAGGTTCAGCTTATTTCCTAAACGAGCAAAACTTGAACAATTTTTAAAGTTCGATTAAAAAACAAGCTTTTCAAGCTCAGTTCGAACTCGACTCGGACTCGTTCGAACAGCCCTAGTGGTGGTGGATGATGATAGTAGCAATTGATGGTGGGGCAGTGGCGGCGGTGGAGGTAGGGGTGGCAGTGGGGCAGTGGAGGTGGTGATAAAGGTGGTGGGGTGACGGCAATGGTGGTGAGGCGATGGAGGTGGCGGTGTGACAATGACAGTAATAGTAGGGCGGCGACAGTAGTTGTGGTGGTAGTGTTGGGGTGGCGATAACAATGGTAGTGGTGACAGTGATGGTGGGGGTGAGGGTGGGGGTGGGGTTGGGGGTTGTTGTAGTGGGAATGGTGGTGGTGGGGAGTTGGTGGGGCTAGCGACAGTGGTGGTGATGATGGTAGGGCTATGGGGATGGTAGTGGTAATAGAACAGTTTCAAACACTACTTTTTAAAAAAAAAAAAAAATATTTATTATAAATTATAAATTCTAGAAGCATTTTCAAAAATTTATTTCAAACACATCCTTATGAGTGTATTTTACCTATTAAATTTGGAGTGTTAATATTAGCCGTCGAATTAACTTTAAAGTAAAATTTAAAGACATCTTAATCGTGAAAAACAAAAATTATTTTATTTATCTTTTAAAATTTAAATTGTATTGTATTTTTTTATATAGATTTAATTTGCTGACTTACACTAATTTAACGATGAAATTAGAAATTAATCTAAATAGTAAGTGAGATGCATTTTCAAATAGCTTCTATGATGATAAATAGATGACACTATAATAAGAAACATCCATGGTGATTTTGAATTCTTATAAGGTCCAAATACATAATAGAACCAATACTAATAATAACTTATCCCAACAAATTCATCTAAATAATATAATTTGAAATGATATATCTAGTCACAAGGTAATTCACATTCGTTGACAGAAACATAATGTCGAAGGCTCAAACGTCATAACAGGGGGCCAATAGGGTAAAATTCTCTACTCACCCAAAAACATATAAAATGGCTAAAATCTCTAGTGGGTTAGCAATTGACTTAATAACTTCCATCCTAATTATTGCTCTTATGTCTGTGCGAAGAGCCCCTAATCATCTAATCAAGAACAAACTAAATTAACCCTAGTATGACACTTTTGATCGAGAGCATAAGTTGGTATGAATACTCTTGACTATTGAACTAATTTTTTTTTTTTTTTGAAAAGTAAGAAGGAAGAAAATGTCATCTTCAATATTAACTCAAATTTTTACTTAAATTTAAATCAATATTTAAATAAAAAATTTAATTTGATATAAGACATTCTAATGGATAAACTCAAATTTGAAAAAGGACAAATATAAATTTAAAAAAAGGCAAACTAAAATTTAAAGAATGGTAAAATATTACAATTGAATCATTAAAGATGGTAAAAATTTACCATTAAAGGTTTGAGGAATGATTTAAATCTCCTTTGATCTGAGTAAAAATTGAATATCTCTTTATTTGGTATGAATTTAAGTAAAAGACTAGACCTTATTTTTGACATATTTTTATTCAAATTTAAATTTAAAATTCAAAATTTGAGTAATTGTTGAAGATGGCCTTAAGTCTTGTTTATTCGTTAAGGAATCTTCGATCTTTACTTAAATTCTAACACAAATTTAAATTTAAGTAAAAACAAGTTAAAAATAAGCCTAAACCATTTACTTGAATTCGTACCAAATGAACAGAGAGTCATATTTTTACTCAAATTAAAATAAATTCAAATCTTTATTCAAATATCTAATGGTAGTGGTCATTTTTATGGTCTTTTAAATTTAATTTTTTTCTTTTTTAAAATTTAAATTTGGTTTGTCTATTGAAGTGATTTGTATTAAATAAATTTTTTTTATTCAAATATTAACTCAAAATTAAGTAAGAATTTAAGTTAAAATTGAAAATGATTTTAGAACTATAGAATACAATGAAAAAAAAGAAGACACTTGGACACGGGAACAAAATATATAGAGAGAATTATACTTAGACCTTTTGAAGTTTGTCATTTAATTATTCAGATCTTTTGATATTTAAAATATTATACATAGACCCCCTGAGGTTTATATGAGCGTAACACTTAGATCCCTACAATCAATGTCTGTTAGTATATCCGTTAATAAATTATATGCAGACTCTCTGAAGTTTGTAGATATATAATAGTTATTTAAACAAAAAATACTTCAATTAAAGATAAAATATCAAGTATTTTAAAATTTTCAACCAAATTTTATATTCTATTGTATCATTTATTGAAATAAAATAAAAAATTAAAATCTAATTTTTTTTAAAAAAATTCGTAACTTGTATATAATTATACTATCTATTAGAACAAAACTAAAAAATCATTAATAGTCTTTGTTTGATTTTTTAGTTTTATTCCAATAGATAGTATAATTGTACATTAATTATAATTTTTTTTATAAAAAAATAGATTTTTATTTTTGATTTATATTTCAATAAATGCCATAATAAACACATGAATTTTGGTTGCAAAGGGAGCAACCCCGTTTTCAGCTTGAATTGGTTGAAATATGCAGACTTTCTTACTTTTTGTGGAGGATTAGATCTAGTAACTGGGATTCTATGATTATTGGATCTTTTTAAAAGACAAATCCAAATTTAAAAGAGAATAAAATATGACTATTGAATTTTTTTAAAGAATTATGAAATCTCACAATTAAATATTTGGATATAGATTTGTATTTTTCTTAATTTGAGTTAAAAAAAAAAGGTTTTTCTTTATTTGGTATGAGTATGAGTCTAATATTGAAAAATATTTTAGATTATTTTTATCCAAATTTAAATTTGGGTACAAAAAAATGTAAAGACTAGAGATGCTCTAGCATCTCATTCTAATTTAAATTTGAGTCAAAATAGTCTAAAAAACTTCTTCAATCGAGCATTTCCAACCATGATTCAAATTTATACTCAAATATAAATTAATATTTAAGTAAAAAACTTGATTTGATATAAAGGACTCAAATAGATAAACTCAAATTTTAAAAAAGATATATCTAAATTTAACTGAGGGTAAACTCAAATTAAAAAGAGAGTAAGGATAACCACTGAATCTTTAAAAGATTGTAAAATATCGCCATTAAATATTTGAGTAAATATTTAAATCTCTTTTGATTTGAGTAAAAAAAATGAGTTTTCCTTAATTTGGTATAAATTTGAGTCAAGGGTAGGAGCAAATTTTTTAGACTTTTTTACTTCAATTTAAATTTGAGTCTAAATTTAAGTAAGAGTCGGAGATGCCCGACTCAAACTCTTACCTAATCAATATTTTATCTAACGCTTTTGTTTGGAGGCTCTACCCACAAATGAGAAATTATAGCGAAGGAAAATCGAGCCAAATAATCTATGCGATGTGTGCTGTATTCTACAAGACTGCTACTGGGCTAAATTATCGTGGAATTTGAGCACTCTTCACAGCATCATTCACAGGTGTGGGACAATTGCGGAACAGTGGGTAAGGGACATACACTCTTTTTTGGGTCAAGAAAAGTTTGCATCATTTATTGTTCAGTGTTAATTGATTTGGAAACATAGGAACGAGATGGTTCGCTCGGGTTCGTCTAAGAACCCAACAATTATTGTCAAAGAAGCTAGAGATTTTTTGGAACAATACCAGCAGGTCAACGGTGTTCAAAGTCCAACTGCTTCAATTTTCGCGTCTTGGAAGCCTCCTAGAGATGATCTACTGAAGGAGGTTAATTTACGCGTCTTGTGGAAGGGCATGCGGTGGAAGTTGAAGTTGGAGTTGGAGTTGTCATAAGGGACAGCAGTGGGGTTTTCGTGCCAAGGGTGGCTAAGAAGTGTGTGTGTGTGTGCACAGTGAGGAAGCATTGAGCATGGAAATCATAGCCTTGCATGAAGCAGAGAGGTTTGCTCGACTTCAAGAGATAGAGTCTATTGTTTTAGAAGGGGATTCTATCCAATTTTTGAAATCTATTATGACTATAGATTCTGATGAACATGCGGAATCCAGAGATCCAGAGCTGCAAACCTGGATAGGGTGCGGCTTGCATTCAAAAGCTTCAGAGATAACTATGGTTCGGAGAAATGATAATAGAGTGAGGTTTCTTGAGGTTCAATTATATGGTGAGAGTGTGCTCTAGATTTTGTAATATCTTTTCATTTTTACCATATTTCGTATCAATAAAGCATATTATTTTTATTAAAAAAATAATTATTATGGACCTAAATTAAAAGAGATTCAAATTTTATTCGAAATTTTCAAAGGTAACTTTACCCTATCCGAAACAAGGTCAAAGAGACTCCTTCGACACCAGAACACTGCCTCTGCCTGCCTCTCTCTTCAAAGATGCTTCATCGCCGACCACAACTGAAGCAATCACTAGTCTTTTGAAAACCAGTAGGCATTGTTCGTTCCTTTTCATCCTTCATCTTCCATCGTTCTCCATCGTTTCCATGTGGGTTAGTGCTTCAAAATAAAGAGCACTGCCACTCGTTATGAGGATGGGGTATATGACTGTGAAAGATAAGCGCAGAGTATATGATAAATTAGGGGACTCACTTGATACAGAAATTAAGCATAATTCCTCAAGAACAAACGGTTGCTTGGATTCTCCACCACCATCCACTTAAAATGGTCCTCGATGCCGCTGCTGTCGCCACCGTCCCCCAAAGTCTACTGATGTAAAATTCCCACCTCCGCCACCACTTCTGCCGTTAAATCCACCGTTACTACCAAAACCAATATCAACACCAGTGACCCCAAGCCCTCTTGCATGATACATATGTGGACTGACCTCTCCTCTCCCTTCAAGACCCACATTTCCATATCTCATTTTCTCATTCAATTTGATGTGCTTCTTCACTATTGTTTCAAGCCATGGTTTAATGTTATTGAGTTTTTGAGAAGTATGACTGAATTTCTTTTTCTCTATAATTACCATGTTTATGGTTATGAATAATAGATATTACTTTTCCACTTTGATTCTCTAGATGAATCTTTAAACACTCAATATTGACCGAAATGAGCTTTGGGACAAGGGAATTTTTTAAAAGAATTGAATAAATATTTTTATTTATTTATTGAAATATTTTATATTAAATCAAGTTTTTTACTCAAATTAAAACTCTCAATTTGAATTATAGTTAAAAATGCTTTTATATATAAACGGATTCAAATTCAGATCCATTTAACAAACCTAATTAGCTCAAGTATCCCACATTCAGTTGTCCCTTTCCAAGTTATTTTCTAGTTAAGTGGTTACATCTATAACCAAATTCCGAAGGCACTGACATTGTTCCTTAAAAGAAAATTGCAGTTAAAAAAAATAAAAATAAAAACTACAGAAAAGTTGAAAGTCATGAAGGAACAATCTCAGTGGAGAAAAAAAAAACACCATTACGTATAAAAAGAAGGAATACAAGCGCAAAGCTTAGATGTGACTAGTATAATATCGATATGATTTCAAATTGTTCTTACCAGAGCACTATCTATTACTAATGCCAACTCCATCAGATAAGCCAAAGAGTAAATTTTTCATTTTTCTTTAGTGAAAGGAGAGGTTCGGTTTTAACTTTTAACATGGAAGTATTTTACTAAAGCAGCTACTTTTCTTATGTTGACACTAAAAGAGCAACATAGAGGTTTCTCTACCTTCTGGACTGTCCCTTTCTGTGCCTGTTCCTTGCTAAAATGTTGTTTCTAACTGCAGATGTAGAAAAAAAAAATATACAGACGTGAATATAATGGTTACAATAATGTTCTACAGACAATTACTAAACACATGAATCCAATAAAAGCTTAATCTACCAGCGAGAGGTAATAACATCATCTTCAAATACCGCCTTCTACAAGCCGAAACACAGTATGCATTTAAGTGGTACAGCCAGAGCGAAGTTGGGGTACTTTCACTGTTTCAGGGTGTAAGTTTACACCCGTATGATGCTGTCCCTTGTACATAATCTTTTTCTAAATCCTCATTCCCAACACTCCAAGCATGAATTCCAAAGTGATTCTAATCTAGCTAGAAAAGTAATATATCTCGTTTTTGTTTTTTGTATTCAATCTAAAGAATGAGGGTTTTAGATTAACTTCGATGGTTAAGTGTTGGGCTTAGTTTGTATCTGGATACCCCTTCCCCTTCCTATAACCTGCATAAGCAGGAACCACACTTTGTAACCTCACTTTTAGGTTCAGACTAATTTTTATTTCTTGCACTCATGAATGCATCTGTGTGGTGGGCATAAGTTGTCTATTTCCATCTAGCCCAGTGGTTGGGCTGTTGACTTGGCTCAACCAATAGGTTATGGGTTCAAGAATGCAGCTTCTGCAAAGAAAAACTCACTTCACAAAGATTCTAAAATACCTGCTTTTAGCAACTACCAAAAAAAAAAAAAAAAATCGCTAGAGCAAAAGAATAATCCAACCATCCAATATGTTGTAAGAAACTGGGCGCCCTAAAGCATTGAAGGGTGACTTGGTAATCAAAATCAAACTGTTAAACAACAAAACAAGAAAAAAGTTCCATTCAATGGCAACATCAACGGAACTCACAACCTAAGTTATGAAGGCTCACCCCCCCCCCCTTCTTTCTCTCTGTATTTGTGTGTGCGCGTGCTAATTTGATTAGAAACATCTACCGAACATGCAGATCATACAAGCACTATTATATTGGAGAAACCAACTCAGTTATATGGATCCAGAGGATTGGTCCCGCCATGTTTTATTTTTATATAATATGGGGGAAATCATCAGTAGTACGTATCAAACAGGATATGCTATATAGCAAAGCATGATCCAAGTAAAGGCTTGGTTTAGGGATCATTGCCTAGTGCAATGGTTAAAATGGTCAAGTTAACTAGGACCAAACTAGATAACCAATCCTTTTTCAGGCTTTAGTTCCTTCTACTGCAAACTTTGTAATGCCAAAACCCATCATCGAGCTACCCACAACCCAGCAAAATGCTTTAGCATTTAGACTTTTTTAACAACATATTTTTAACCAACAAGCGTACTCCTAGTACTTGATTTTAAAGATTGAAAAGGTCTTCAAATATGGGTATGTTCAACTAGTCCTTATATAAATAAAAGAATAAAAATTTTATAATATAGTGGTTAATAAATAGCCCTGGGTTTCTCTTATCAGCCACCCTATTAATTTTACTTCAGGAAATAGTGTTAGGTTCCAAAAGTATGGATTTTTTTTTCTCATGTAGTTCTCCTATAAAACACTCAAAAGCAATTCCTTATCGTAGCGGCAGCGCCCTTCTTTAAAAAGCATGTTTCCAATAATAAATAGCAGCTTCAGAGAAGATAATGCATGCATACCTGAAGCAAAGCTGTCTGAGATCCGTGTTATCACCTGGGCAGGGGAAGTGTGATGCATGTCTAATGAGGTTCATCTTGCATGTTCATTGTACAATTTTTCTGGAATGTCCCTTTGATCAACTGGGAAAATTTGGAACTAAATCAGACTATCATCGTAAGGCTCAACAGATGTGTAGCTGGTCAATTGGTTCCAAGTAGAGGCGAGACTAGGCTTAGAGTACTGGAGGTGTTTTCAGCAAGTGAACCTGATATTCTGCAGAAAGTAGATCCCTGAGGCACTTTTACAGCCATGTCCTTCAGCTGCCAGAGTATTGAACCATGGCCCAGTGAACACATGTTGAAGGTGAAGTAGTTTACATACTGTACATACCCCTTGAATACAATGCAATACAAGAAAGCGATAAAACAAATCCCAAAAGTTTCAGTCCAAGTTTCATCGTTTTTGTTTTCAGCGATAAGCAAACAAATTCTCGTCAAACTATATAAAGCTATTAACATGCAAAGACCAACCACTATCATCCATTATAATATCAACTAGAAGGTGCTCTGCACTAGTAAAATATACAAGTTATAGATGTATGTAATTATATATGAAATTTATGGACAGAATATAGAACAACTGCAACATTTTAGCTGACTAAATGTCCTATTCTAAAACATAAATAAACTAAAGCAGTGCAGACAAATGGTTCTGAATAAAATTCTGGCAATAAATATTTTCCATTGAAATTGCAAAAGATNAAAAAAAAAAAAAAAATCGCTAGAGCAAAAGAATAATCCAACCATCCAATATGTTGTAAGAAACTGGGCGCCCTAAAGCATTGAAGGGTGACTTGGTAATCAAAATCAAACTGTTAAACAACAAAACAAGAAAAAAGTTCCATTCAATGGCAACATCAACGGAACTCACAACCTAAGTTATGAAGGCTCACCCCCCCCCCCTTCTTTCTCTCTGTATTTGTGTGTGCGCGTGCTAATTTGATTAGAAACATCTACCGAACATGCAGATCATACAAGCACTATTATATTGGAGAAACCAACTCAGTTATATGGATCCAGAGGATTGGTCCCGCCATGTTTTATTTTTATATAATATGGGGGAAATCATCAGTAGTACGTATCAAACAGGATATGCTATATAGCAAAGCATGATCCAAGTAAAGGCTTGGTTTAGGGATCATTGCCTAGTGCAATGGTTAAAATGGTCAAGTTAACTAGGACCAAACTAGATAACCAATCCTTTTTCAGGCTTTAGTTCCTTCTACTGCAAACTTTGTAATGCCAAAACCCATCATCGAGCTACCCACAACCCAGCAAAATGCTTTAGCATTTAGACTTTTTTAACAACATATTTTTAACCAACAAGCGTACTCCTAGTACTTGATTTTAAAGATTGAAAAGGTCTTCAAATATGGGTATGTTCAACTAGTCCTTATATAAATAAAAGAATAAAAATTTTATAATATAGTGGTTAATAAATAGCCCTGGGTTTCTCTTATCAGCCACCCTATTAATTTTACTTCAGGAAATAGTGTTAGGTTCCAAAAGTATGGATTTTTTTTTCTCATGTAGTTCTCCTATAAAACACTCAAAAGCAATTCCTTATCGTAGCGGCAGCGCCCTTCTTTAAAAAGCATGTTTCCAATAATAAATAGCAGCTTCAGAGAAGATAATGCATGCATACCTGAAGCAAAGCTGTCTGAGATCCGTGTTATCACCTGGGCAGGGGAAGTGTGATGCATGTCTAATGAGGTTCATCTTGCATGTTCATTGTACAATTTTTCTGGAATGTCCCTTTGATCAACTGGGAAAATTTGGAACTAAATCAGACTATCATCGTAAGGCTCAACAGATGTGTAGCTGGTCAATTGGTTCCAAGTAGAGGCGAGACTAGGCTTAGAGTACTGGAGGTGTTTTCAGCAAGTGAACCTGATATTCTGCAGAAAGTAGATCCCTGAGGCACTTTTACAGCCATGTCCTTCAGCTGCCAGAGTATTGAACCATGGCCCAGTGAACACATGTTGAAGGTGAAGTAGTTTACATACTGTACATACCCCTTGAATACAATGCAATACAAGAAAGCGATAAAACAAATCCCAAAAGTTTCAGTCCAAGTTTCATCGTTTTTGTTTTCAGCGATAAGCAAACAAATTCTCGTCAAACTATATAAAGCTATTAACATGCAAAGACCAACCACTATCATCCATTATAATATCAACTAGAAGGTGCTCTGCACTAGTAAAATATACAAGTTATAGATGTATGTAATTATATATGAAATTTATGGACAGAATATAGAACAACTGCAACATTTTAGCTGACTAAATGTCCTATTCTAAAACATAAATAAACTAAAGCAGTGCAGACAAATGGTTCTGAATAAAATTCTGGCAATAAATATTTTCCATTGAAATTGCAAAAGATAGTAAACGTCATTTAGTGGCACATATATTGAACCAAGAAATTCTCTCACCTGTTTCATTAGAGATTTGATTACTTCCTTTGCAGCATTGTTTTTCTCTGCTTGGTCCCTGGCTAATTCAGTCGCGTCGTCCAGTTGTCTTGATGTTCTTTCCAGTTCTGCTTCTAGGTGTTTAGATCTGCGAGTGAGAAGCTCCACCTACATGCAATATCGCAGGTTGCAGGAAACATATACTCTTATCATTTAAATTTAAGCAGGTATATGTTTGATCTAAAGGTCGATGCATCACGGATTTTCAGTAATCCAAGTAATCATCTGTAGTTGAAGGCTTGAAGTGGGTGTCCACTGGACGTTAGTTTGAACATGCAAATGGGTAAGAGAATTGACTTACTAACCACTCATGGCCCAGCTCTGATACCATGTTAGAATATCCAACTCAAAACCAATTGACAATGAGTGGAGAGGCCTTTTGAAGTGTAAAAACTAACCTTGGATGATCCTAATCATTCAATGTGTGATACCAGCTTTCTTTAGAATCTTTTCTGTTTCACCTAACAAAAATCTGAAAGATAGCATAATTACCATACTCAAAGGCTGTAATGCTTCTTTCATTCCAAATGCCCGTAATTGATCTCTTTTTATTATAATGTCTCTAAACCCCATTCCCTGATCCGGGGATCTAAGCAAGGTGGCCAACTAACCTCTTTCTAGGTTTATAGTGGAAGACAACTAATTGGGCAACTGCTTGATCCATCACTTTGAGAAATACCGAAAGCAGTGGCTTCCCCGTGCAATAATTTTCAGGCATCAACATGGTTCAATTATAAAGCCTTTAAGGCTCAATAATGGACATAGTTCAAGAAAGGCACAATTAAGCACATTAAATTAAAGAAAGTGCATCCAAGTATTTCATAGTTTAGATGATCAGATTTATCCTGAGAATTACTTTTACAATCAGGTGATCCTTTATTTATGGTCAACCACCTCTTCAAGATATCTTCTTAGAAGGAAGCAATAATAAAAAAAGTGTCTTCACCCACGGACTCCAGGCAACTTGTATCTTGTCATTGCAATGCCTAGGTGTCATTAGTCGAAAGTAAACGGTAGATGGTGAATCAGTGATCAGCATGAAACATCAAGCATTATGCTTGTCGCAATGATTCATTAGCATGTGCGATTAAAATATCCTATGGATTTGTGTAGTACGTCTACTTGGCCATGTATGGAAAAAGGTTGTCCGGAAAAAAGTTGACCAGTTCCTACTCCAGCACAATTGAACGCATTTGGCCAATCTGGGTTTGCACAGGAGAGAGTCCGGGATGAAGACCATATTCCTGCGGCATCTACATTAATCTAGTTCAACCTATTCAAATGGTGTCCCTGTATGAAGTTATTGATGTGTACTCATGTAATAGATATCATGCTCATGACTCTCCCGAGGCCATGGAAGACACTATGCAAATGGCATTCATGCACATGCAGCAAAAGCACCTATTTAACCACTTTTTCACGTAAGGAATGCTAACCTGTTCCCTTAGAATGGATATATCCTGGGTGAGGTCGTCATTTGTTAGCTTTGAAACATCAGAAATTACTTCGGGATACACCAGAGTGGCAAATGCTGATGTAATTGTTATGGCACGAGGAGGACTCAATTTTACAGAAATAGGAGAGACTCCTCGGGACTGTGTCATTGAACCTGGAATAGAAGCAGATATGTCCTCTGAGCATTCAAATATAGAAGTTGAAGAATTTGATGTAAAAGATTGTCCCCTCTGAAAACTTCTATTGTGAATTGGAGAGACATGACCATTGCTTGAGGCTACTTTATGGTTCTGTTTGGAACAATGGCTGTTGGCCCGTCTGAATGAATCGAATGAGGACAACCTGGAGAGTAGGCCATGAGATTTAGGATTTGTGGTCCCTTTCTCCTTTACATCCCCAGAATTGTGATGTATATTTCTGTTCATGACTTTGGGAGGTCGATTGCTCAACCCAGTTTCCTTGCCCTTGTTTAGTTTAATAAAACAATCATCACATACACGATAAGGTTTGTCCATATTTGGAGACAAAGAAGCATATAACGATTTATTGCTGCTACACGATTTGCAAAAAAGTAGCCCACAGTTGTAGCAGTTATGACGCTTCCTTCTGAAACTAAAAGGATTACGGCAACTAGAACATATGGAATGATCAGCATAATACACCCTTTTGTGAAGGCAAATTGCAGCGGTGAAATTGGATCCACATACCACAGTGTTCACTTGTTTGTCTTTTAGAGCTTCTACCAGTGTAGGAATGTTCCTGTCATCATTGTCTCCATGCCCTAATTGACCATTTGTTCCCTTTCCCCAAGTGTAAAGCTCATATTTTGAACTCAAAACAGCAACATGATGAGAACCACAGGATATCTCTTCAATGAAATTGTTTCTGATTTTTCCTTCAATGCAAGTAGGAAGGATACCAGCAGTGCCTGGACTCCCAAGTTGTCCATGATCAGCATTCCCCATAGTATACACTTTTCCTGAGTTTGTGAGAGCGATTGTATTGCTGTGACCACAGGCTACTTGGCAAAAGTTTGTGTCATCCAACAACTTTACAGGAGATGGAACAAGTCTAGGTTCTTTATCACCATGTCCAAGCTGACCTTTATCCCCACTCCCCCAGGTGAACAGCTTTCCAGCAGAAGAGATACCCAAACTTGAAGGTTCAGAAGTAACATCTACAACAGCAGCAGTGTGCCAATAACCACAAGATACCCTCAAAGTCCAAAGTCCTTTCAGGGTTTCAACTTGCCTTGGAGTACTTGTGCTCCTACAATTGCCATGGCCTAGGGCACCAAAAGTTCCATCTCCAAACGTAAACAACTGACCCACTGATGTAATAGCAGCTGTATGCCAAGGTCCACAAGAGATAGAAGATACACACATATCCTCCATCATTACTTTTTTAGGGGTCCAGTGACTGAGTTCAGCACCATGCCCAAGAAGACCAAAATTGTGGATTCCATCACCCCATGTGTAAAGATCCCCAGATAGTGTTACAGCACAAGTATGATATTCTCCACATGCTACTGACTCAATGTTCAGTTCACTGAGAGTGCTGATGACCTTTGGATTGGAGACATCAGCTTCTACTCCGTGCCCAAGCTTGCCACCTGAACCCTCTCCCCAACTAAAAATCTCCCCTTGTTTGGTGACCAACACGGCATGTCTACTACCGCAAGCCATCTTTTGTGCATCAAATACAAAAGTTGATTCCAGAGCCTTCGGTAAATGTGCATCTACACGGGCAGTTGATGATTTTCCAACTCTATGCACACCACCACCCAGCAGCCCATTGCCAATTCCTTCTCCCCAAATGAAAATATCAGTTACGGTATCAAAATCGTCAAGAGAAGATCCCTGGCTAGATAAACTTATGGCACCGGATAAACTCACTCGAAAAGTATCTGACGAGCTCCTCCCATTTGGATCATCTAAACCTCCAGAAGACAGTGAACATAGGGAGTTGACTAGAAATTCTGTCTGTTGGGGACTTTCGGCTACTTCATTGTACAGCAAGACATCCGAAAATGTTCTTCCCAATCTTTTTTGTGGGGGACTCTTGAAAGGAACTAGAATTGTTTGATTATTTCTTGGCTCCTGGGATGAGTAAGTTAAGAAAATTACAAGGAGTAGTAGGTTATTCAAGTTTCACTAAAAGCATATCAAGAAACCTCATAAACGATATCACTGCTGCTAGTTGATGCAATTGACTGAGAATTTCTTTGTGTAAGGGCTCTTGAACTATCTGATGATATGCTATCACTTCTAGCCTCACTTCTCCATTGTTGGCATTTAACCCGAGAAATTAATGCCCTGAGGGCAACAAACCAGATTTCGGCTTCATCCTTGTCTTTGCATATCTGTCCACAGTTATATCAAATCACCATATAGCAAGAAGATGTTTTTGTTAGAAAATATGAAAAATATATCCAAAGACTCACAAAACCACACTGAGACATATATGTATATATTGATACGTATGTGTGTACGTCTATTTCTATACTCACATAAAGTTAGAGAAATTTGAGTGAATCAGTAGTAGCTAAATGAGTCTCCATTTTTGCAATCTAGATAGACATTGTGAAGATTGGCCAAGATTTGACTTCAAACAATTGCTCATATTAAGCATATTTTGCAAGCAACTATATAGTAGGAGTATGATAATCTCTAAAAACCAAATCATGAGATTCTGCTTGCTCCAGTTAGCAGGTATATGGCTTAACAAGTGAACGGGCCAAGGAAAAAATACAAGTGTATGTTTCTTACCATTCAAAAACTAAATGCCAACTGGACCCATATTCTGTCTAATTATACTTCACTGTGCTGTGTCAATATAGGACTGAGTATAGAACTTTTTGACTTCATGTTCATAAGATGTTCCCATAAATTTCCTTTATGCAGTAAACCTACCATATCCATCCTCCTTTCACAAGGCTTATGATTAATTGTGTGGAATAAAAACCATAAGCACTGCACTAACAGAGATAACAAAATAGAAGCAAGAAACCTCAAAATTGCATACATGCGCCTAAGGAGAGCTATGTTAGGGAATGAGCGCTTAATATACAAAAGAAGAAAAAAAAATGAAAATCCCATTGGTTAATTTCTGTTTAGATAGATATCCGTTGAAAAGTTGTAGACTATTCCATCACTCCCAAACACCCCCCCCCCCCCCCCCCCCCCACAAGA